TAAACCCACTGCTATGGAGTCTGTTTCAACTCATTGTGACCCTATAGGACAGAGTAGAACTGCCCCATAGGGTCTCTAAGGCTGTAGATCTTTACAGAAACAGACTGCCGCATCTTTCACCTATAGAGCCACTGGTAGGTTCAGACCACTGACTTTTGGTTAGCAGCCCAGTGGTTAACCATGGAGCCAACAAATTTCCTCTTGCACTCATTCAAACCCTCTGGAGCTAGTCAATTTTATCTAGTGGTGACCACATGTAGGAGCTCAAAGCCTGTAAATCTGGGAGCAGACAGCCTCAGTTTTCTCCTGTGGAGCAGCAGTGGGTTCACGCTTTTAATCTGAATCTGAGGCCCAGCAGCCTTACCCACAGCACTAAAACAAACCATCAAGAAACTAAACTCACTGCATTGAGTCAGTTCCAAATCATAGTGACCACAGAACACTTTCATTTTCTGAGGCTGCATATCTTCATGTGAGAAGAAAGCCTCATCTTTCTGCCACTGAGCAGACTGGTGGAGTTGAACTGCTCACCTTATGATTAACACCACCGCGGCTTCTTGCACTAAATCAAAAAAACCAAACTCAGGGCCGCTGAGTGGATGTTGACTCATAGCGACCCTATTGGACACAGTATAACTGCCCCTGTGAGTTTCTGAGACGCTAACTCTTTATGGGAGTAGAAAGCCCTATCTTTCTCCCTCAGAGCAGCTGGTGGTTTCGAACTGCTGACTTTGAGGCTTGCAGCTCAACATGTAATCACTACACCACCAAGGCTTCTCTCTTGCACTAAAGTCAGGCTGAATAAAAACAATATACATCTCTTCCAACTTACCTATAAATTCTTCAAGACGCAACTAAGAACATAGCTCATTTGTAACCACGGGCTGCCTGTAATGCAAACGTCTTTTCCCTCAGAGCATACTGTCTTTCCTTTTCATAGGTCTGGAAGGTGACTTTCTATGTGGTCTCTACTTTCTAGTGAGCGACTGCAGAGAAATTACCTGCCATCGTCTCGGCACTTCCCACCAGTGACTGGGTGGGGCCATGTAAATAAGGTGAGTGTCTGGGTGGGGCCATGTAAATAAGGTGTTGCTGTTACTGTGAGGTGCCTTCGAGTAGGTGCTGACCCATAGATGTCCTGTGCGATAGAACCAAACACTGTCCCGTCCCGTGTCACCCTCACAATTGCCCCCTAGGCTTGAGCCCATTGCTGCAACCATTATGTCAATCTATCTCATTGAGACCCTTCCTCTCTTTTGCTGCCCTTTGTTTTAACAAGCACCGGGTCCTTCTCCAGGGACTGGTCTCTCCTGACAACATGTCCAAAGTGTGTAAGATGAAGTCTTCACCATCCTTGCCTCTCAGGAGGAGCACTGGGGCCAGACTTCTTCCAAGACACACTTGTTTATACTTTTGGTGTAGAAGCTCTACTGGAGGGGGTGGGTAGTTTGCCATTCTGCCGAATCTAAAAGTGAGCCATCTCTGAAGTAGAATAGAGCCACAAGCAGACCATCTGTGAGATTCTTTCTTAAAAAAATCATTTTATAGGGGGCTCTTACAGCTCTTATAATATTCCATACATCAGTTGTATCAAGCATCATGTGTGAGATTCTTGTATGAAGTGTTGGTGGAAGCAGGGGTACCAGAGCCTGAAACCCTGAGAGTGATTTACATGAAAGATTTTAAATGCTAACGAAGTGCTTGATAAATATAAAAGATTACTACAGTAGCAGGGACATGTATCTTCCTGTCTGGTACAAACTCACAATATCTTACATAAAACCAGATGGTAAGTTCTCCTTTGCTCTCCGTTTCCCCCTCCCCTCCAGCATCTTTGGGCCTGTATATGCCCTTAAACTACTGTGGTAGGTCCTTTCCCACTCTTCCATTTTTGTAACCCTTCAACGGCTATTTGCAATGCTTTCTTCTGCTTCGGAATTTATCACAGCAGATTTTGTTCCCAGCCCACCGGCAGAGTAAAGCTAGAGCCTTTGGGCAGGCGCTGGCTTGCAGAGTGAGATGCCACTTGGGCATTCATTAGTATTAAAGGAGCGTTGTAACACTTGCTTGAGCTTGGTGGAGGTCGAAGGACTGAGTGCCCGAGAGGCTGAGAACCAGAGAGAGACAGGGCCTGCTAACATGGTGGAGAAGATGTGCTGCCGTGGACAAGAGGATTGTATCCTTAAATGTTTTCTGATCCTAACTTGTAACCTGTTAACTTTTCTAATACACCTCCACAATTATGATTATGATCTAGTGTGAGTTCTGCTTGGTTACTGCAACCAATGATCAAACCCAAAAGACTGGAGTGTTCTGGGAGGGATGCTTGGTATCTGAAAGGATAAAGGAGGAGGCGTATATGGAGTTGGGGTCTTGGGTTGGTATGGAGTTGGATCTCCTCCATCCTCGGGATGTTGAAGGATGCCAAGCATGGCCCCCACACCTATTCCTCAGTGTCTAAGCTTTTGCAATGGCATGGACCTCTAAAGACTAAAAAGGGTGCATTTCCCTGTTAAATCTCCCTTCTAAGATATCACCAATAACCTCCCCCCTCTCTTGCTCACTCACTTTCTCATGCATGCACTCACTTATTAAGCAAATAATTATTGAGCAACTGGAGTGTGTCCATAGGAACCCCGATGGTGAAAGCAGTTCCGTGCTAAGCTGCTATCCTAAAGGGCTGCACATTTGAACCTATCCCATGGGCTCTACAGGAGAAAGAACCGAAAATCTGCTTCCATAAGGATTACAGCCCAGAAAACCCTATGGGACAGTTCTACTTTTTCACATGAGCCTGTATCAACTACAACGGCGCTATGTGCCAAGGATTGGAGAAATTGCACAAGATAGAAAAATTCTTATTGTTACAGAGTTTAATATTCTAGTGTGTGGGGGGAGACAGTAGAGTATTGGATGAGAAAGTTGAAGGGTGTGGGATTAGGATGAAAAGGGGCACTGTGACGTTGTGCAGAGAGTATGGGGGCAGTGGGGGTTGGGGGGGGTGCTTGCCGCTGTAGAATGGATGATCAGGGCAGTATCACTGAGGAAATGACATTCACCTGAATGAGTCTGCCTCCGCAACTTTCAGCGCAGGAAAGCTGTGCCACACAACGTGCCCTTTGATGCTTTCTGTTGTGTTTCAGTGGGGGGTGGGGGTGGGGGTGGGGCAATCTTAGGAAGTCTTACCCTCTGATCACAATGACATCATTCTGGATTATTGCTAACATATATACAACAGCCACCCAGCATGGCCCTTTAGTAGTTAGTCAGACACAGCTTGGGAGAAAAAAGGCTTTCTACTCCTGTGAAGAGTTACCGTCTCAGAAACCTACAATGGCAATTCTACCCTGTCCTCTGAATCGGAATTGGCTTGATGGCAGTGAGGTTTTGGGCTTCTTTTTGGTGGGGCGGGGGGTGGACACCACTGCTCTTTTTGAATCACTATGGTCTGCGGTGGCAAAATGAGCTACAGAATCCTTCAGAGGAAAGCTGGGAACGCCTACTGTATTTCATTAAATTAAGTAGCTTACTATAGTGTTATGATGTGGAGTCTTTGGGAAGGGCTCTCATCCCTCAAGGTCGCCTGGAGTTGCGATAAACAGCAATGGAGAGCAGACATATTTGACCTCCTCTAGCTTCCCTGTTGTCACGAGGCAAGGGTCAGCTCCATCCTACTATTCTGACACCCACCATTTCTCCTCCACTCCACATCTATGCTGGGTCAATCATTCATTGAAATGCTCACTCAGAACTCACAGACAATACTCAGGGGGTTCGTTAGGTAAGTTAAGAGGTTACCACAAGTCAGAATCAGAAAACAGTAAGGATATAGTCATTGGCCTCCTTAGTCAGCAGACATGTCTCTCTCTGGCTCTCAGCCTCATAGCCCTGTGGCAGCTAAGGCTCTAGCTTAGTCTCTTTGCCACGTGGTCCCTTAGCCTTTGCCTCCATGGCCAGAAAGCTGGCCCACTTGTCACTCTGCCTTATGGTTACATAGTCTCAGACCAGAGAAGGAGAAGGTACCCCAAGTCTCCATGCTGCTACTCTGAGTCTCGGTGCCACAGTCTGTGATGCATATGGTCTCCGTGGCCTCTGCCTTTCCAGACAGAGATCTTGAACTTGCTCTTCCAAGGCCCTTGGAGTTTTCCTTTTCTCTGCTGCTGCTTTAAAGGTGGTTTATCCTTACTGCTGGCGTTGGCAATGAAAACTGGTCAGTCCCCTCTATTAGTATTACACATACTCTATTTGCATTGTTCCACCCCATCATTTGGTCAGAGTTACAGAGACTTGGGTACTCGCTGCCATCGATTGAGCGACACTAGAGGTTTCTGAAATGTAACTCTTTATGGGAGTAGAAACCTTGTGTTTCTCCAGCAGAGACTTGAGCAGAAGAGCCATATTAAGAAATTTCACTCCAACACAAAGGTTTCCAACTATATCCAGGGGGTTGAAATTATTTTTTAACCATTTTTAGAATTTTCATTCTACAGCCAATTAAAAGTCTTAAATGTAATACCCCAAGGAAAAGTCGCAAATGAGTCATAAGAATACTGTAACTCTGAAGACACAGGTTGTTTCTACAAGAAGAAAGGAGGCAGAGGAAGACCCCTGTCCTGGGGAGAACTGGAAAGATGTTTGGGATAAAGAGAAAAACTGAAGCAAGACAAAAAGGAAAATAAGAAAGGATTTGTACCTAGAGTATTTTGCTCAATCCCCAAGGACTCCAACTTCTCTAGAGTTTGAGGAAGGTGAGCATTCTTGCATTGTTGGAATTGCTAAGATAGATTGGTAATGAGCATATTTCCTTTGTCCTGTCCCATTCTAAAGACTACTTTTATGTTTCAGAAGGTGATTATAAGGATGAGGTAGTGTATATTCTGGACTATTATGCTTACAGGATGTATATAGAAAAGGCCCGAGAGCTCGCCCGGCGGTCCCGTGGATCTGTGTCTTGCTTCAACAGTGTTTGAACGGAACAGACCCGGGGACTCCCTGCCGCGCTCCAGTTTCCTCTCGGAAGTAACTTCGGGACCATCCGCTTGGAACCAGCCCCTCTTCTTGGGACCAGCGAACACTTTTATTCGGCGTGTGGTGACCTCCAAACCGACGCAGCATGAGCTCTCAAATCCGTCAGAATTATTCCGCCGACGCTGAGGCCGGCGTCAACCGTCTGGTCAACCTGCACCTGCGGGCCTCTTACACCTACCTCTCTCTGGGCTGCTCTTTCGACCGCGACGACGTGGCCTTGGAAGGCGTGGGGCACTTCTTCCGCGAGCTGGCGAAGGAGAAGCGCGAGGGGGCCGAGCGTCTCTTGAAGCTGCAGAACCAGCGCGGCGGCCGCGCCCTCTTCCAGGATGTG